GAGGGCAAGGATGCTCATTCTTGTTTCAAGTGAAACCTTTTTTTGCGTTTATGAACCCTTGCATTCTTATTCTTTCTCGACGTTTTGGATTGAGGTCATTGTAGCTACAAATAGAAAAAATCCGTTGTATTCACAATTTCAAGAATGTACCCTAGATTGGAGTATCAAATTAACACAAATTTTTGACCATTAAAAGTAATTTTTTAAAAAGAACGCAATAATCAGTTAAAAAACTGATTTATGTTATAATCGTATTTGAATTAATTTAACAGATTTTCCAATTTTTTCAAACAGACTTTCACAAAAAAAATTTTCACTTAATATTTATAGTGCTCTTATCACAAGAAACATTTCGTAAAACCTTTTGAGCTATTGCAAAACTGATAAAAATTTTGTTTTACACAATGATATAATTAATTTCACATTACACTAAAAGTTCTAAATTATGACAATCAAAAATCATAAAAATTATATAAAATATCGATAATACTATTTAATATCAATATTAAAAGTAGGTTTTATTCTATATTGAAAGAATAAATTATTTGAATTAAAAAAATTAATTACAATAGTTAATTGGTCCATGATAGATAATACAAACTTTTACTGTAATTATTCTCATACTTTAACTTTGTTGCAGTACGAGAATAAATAAATTTTTTTTCATCTTAAGTAAATATCAATATTACCTAATAAATACAAAATATAAAGTCGTGCTGTATTTATTTATTTAAACGTAAAAAGTATTTTAATACATAAATTATGCGTAAAAAAAATTATTAACAATTATTACACCAGATCCTTTTCTAATAATTCTTACAAGTTATGGAAATTGTAAAATGCAAAAAAACTGTATTAGAAAAAAATTGGTTTGAAAAATTCTTAGAACTGATCTTAATCATGCACATAGGGTAAGTAAGAAAAAATGATGCTACTTTATAGGTATAAAAAATTCTTAAACGATTCACCGATATATTACAACTATAATTCCTAGTCCTACTTTTAATGTGATTTATATATAATATATAATGAAACTTTTCTTTAATTATTCCAATTTAGTATTCCATTAAATGGTTCCAGAAGCATGTTGAGTGCCAATTAAATAATACTTCATATACAAATACTTCAGCGCAAGTAATATCTGTATTTAAATATTATTTATACAATGTTAGTATATTTTTTATGATTTCTAACCAGATAAAACCGAAAGTAGAGATTCGAAAAAATCATTTTAAGATTTTATTAAAAAATAAAAAAACGAAATAAAAAAATTAAAATAATAATCTCATTAGGATGAAAGTGGGTCAAAGTATCCATGAGTTCTATGTAATTATTCGTGCTCATACAGGTGTGTGCCAAGATGGATATTTTTCGGGGTATGATGAACTTTCATTATAGATCAGTAAATCATGCTGTAGACATATAATTTCGCCGTTAAATTTCCCATTCGTAAAAAATTAACAAAGGCAACTAATAGTTACGATTTTATACTAGCTGAATAGAGATTTTCGAATCGCAAGACTATGCCCGGCTATCGGTATTTTTTATCCGTGCTCCTTAATTTACGTCTCTCAGGGCGGATTCGTGATAATAAGAGGCCCAAGACTGACCGGGGTGATGTCGCGGGAAGTCAATCAGAAACGATTATCTTTTTAGCAGGCCATTAGGTAGGCCATACTGCACACCAGAGCGGGGCAGCCTCAGTTCAAGGCAACCTTTAGAAAGTGAGATTTCGAAGGACGCGCCAGCCCTGAGAGATGAGGCGTGCTCTTGCCGCTTACTCTCGCTCTTCCCTCTCTCCCTCTGGGGTATATCAACCCCAAGCGAGCACCATGTATACACATGTAGGCACATATGGTACGTGAATCCCTGAAGATCCTCTCACGTGCACTCGCGCACGTATGTATGTACGTACGTGTGTATATATTTGCACGCGGCCAGGGGACCAAAGTGCATTAGCCTCGTGGTTCAATGCACTCTCGGGGGCCCAGTATATAATAATAATAATAATGATAATAATAATAATAATAATAATAATAATAATAATATGTGTATACGTGTGGAGTGTGTCTGGGGGGGCGTCTGTCGCCAGCAAACAGCAAAAACAAGAGGAGAAACGAGATTCCGGCACCACGTACGTAAGTAGGTATAAGTAAGTGTGCAGCGGGCCGCACGAGAGCTCCCATAAATAACGGCTCCTGCGTGTGTTTTTGTGCCGTGCGGGAATCCCTATGTCGGTAATCGAAGGGTTTATTGGTGCTCGAGTTTTTGGGACTTATTATCAAAGGTATACGTCCGTGCGTGGACTCTTCTTTTTTTCTGTTCATTTATTTGTTTAAGTTTTAAGCATAGAGAAATAAGAACATCGAGCTTCATTCTATTGCAAAATTATATTTTGCAAGGAATTTTGCATAAGTAATATTTTTTATAAAATATGTCCTTAAAAAGTTATCAGCAATTTTTCAAATCTTTTGTATCATTCACATGTACTAAATTTATCAAATTTACATTTTTTATTCACACCACGTAAAATGTTTTCCATTAATGATAATTTTGCTGTATTATTACGTTACATTTGTCAATATTATCTCTTTTTTTTATTTATAATTTAAGCACGATATCAGTTTTCTAATATAGTTTGTCAGGAAGATAGATTTGTCAATAGTGGGCCCATCTTGTCACTTGGGCCATGGCAACCCCACAAACCTCTGTTTATGTAAATATTTATACTGTATAAAAAACAGGAGTTCTTACAGAATAAGAATTACATATCGGTACTAATATTAATTGTAGAAATACTTTTATCAATGAACTGCTCATCACTAACAGAAAACTAAGATCAACATGAACTCAAACGATGATGGAATGTGGAGAGTAAAATAAAATGAAATAAATAAAAAAACTGGAAGAAAAATCACAAAGCGAGAGTTTTTGAAACAACTACCATGTCATGCATAAATAAAATTAATTAATTTACAAAAATTTAATGATTAAATATTGAAAAAACGAGTATTATTGATATTGTTTATGAGGAATCATCATAAATGTATAATTATTAAAAATAGAACCCTAAAATTAATTACAGTAAAAGTGATAGTAAAAATTTTAAAAAATGAACAAAATGTGAAAATTAAATGAATAATATTTAGGGAATAAAGACAAGAAAATGGAAAAATGTCAAAGTCGATCCTGAAAAAAAGAGACAAAAAAAAACGTAATTCAAAAATCACGGCATCGAAATGCAGATTTTTAACGGCCTACTGTGACCTTCGTCGGTCGTTGCACGTCTCGTTCAGCCAGCTCTGACGGGTGCATTCGCCCGTGCAGCTCAGCAGGTATATTTGGCGGTTCCGCCTTAGAAATCACCACCACTACCGAACCCGTACACGCGTGCGATTCGTATATTTGCATGAATGTGCGTGCCTACTGGACTCGTGCTATTTTATCTGCACCTCCAAACCAATCGCTTTTCGGCTGGGCCCCCAAGCCGTGTCATAAATTTTCGTTCAAGCTAATTTTGTTTCTCTGCTGTGTCGAGGAGAATTCTTTTTCCCAACATCCTGATTATACATTTATATACCCTCTGCTGCTCCCACTGCTTTGACATGCTTTACACTTCATGAAAATGATTCATTTATGTGCGTGTACAATAGTTCGTGGGAAAAAAATTTTCGTCTCTCGGCGCAGGATTGGTGAAAATCGTGTACAACCCACGAGAGGAAACTTAGAGAGACCCAGATTATATTTATGTCAAATGCCTGTGATCTCAGACTTTTCTTATTTTTTCTCTCTAGCTACGTAATATACCATTACGCGCTGTATGCGTATGGATTAGATTAAAACTAGTTAACAAAGTAATTGTTCGCAGCATATATATAACATCACTACTGTGGTAATTATTTAATTTATAAAATAATTTTTTTATTTGAGGCACGTTGCTAGTTAAATTTATTGTACATGATAGTTGTCTTTTGTCTTCACTGTAAAATATAAATCCAGATAAATAAATAAACACTAATGATCGTCTGGGTTATGGTGCTCTATTATACCTCAAATATAATGTTTTATTTGCCTTAGTAAATACATTCGTCAACTAGATAATCAGAAAAATACAGATATGAGTTGACTTTCATTTGCTATAGATCAATTTCGGCATTGCATATAAAAAACCTTAAAACGTATAGAAAATAAATTATGATTAGAATACATAACTAAAAATAATTATTGCTTTAACTACAGTAGATAAATAAAATTATTGAGGACTAATGTAACATTTAATCCTTTTTTCATATTTTTTATTAATAATGTATTGATTGCTTATGACTTGGAAAAAACTGAAACTGTTATTTCATAGTCTCGACACGAGTCACATAAAATAAATTTAATTTTCTTGATTTTTTGCGGGTCAGTACATATGCACACGATCAGTAAGAGCTAATTTAGGAGTGAAAATAAATAAACTCCAAAAATTTCTATTTCATTTTCTTATGCGATCAAAAGAAACATTTTTATAACGTTAATTCACCAAACGGTACATCAGATATCTCAAAGATTGGTATCTGTTAATCGAAACACAGATCGAATCTAAGATCGTGGACTCTCACGTGTGAACTCAGCAGCATTAGTAACCTTAATGTTTCTTAAGCGAGAAGAAGTAAAGGAATGTGTTCCCAATATTATTGAAATTTCCTTTTTTGCTGCTTGTTCAATTGAACATTCATTTATTTAGTTCAATTTTACGTAACAAAACTATATTCAACAAAAAGTTTTAAGCTTAATATTTGAATCTCCCGCGATCGGTTTTGTTTCTTCCAGTACGTGTCCTCCGTAGAAAGCGCTGGAATCGTTTCACCAGTCAATGCTGCCCGGCAAGTGGTCAGCACGTTTTTTAGATGTCACTCTGATTTTTTATTTTTTTTACTAAAATACAGTAAAAACGGTGGTATTTCATTGTGAGCGTTTACAGTCAATAGCAAGTAGCAAATAGAAAGTGCTGCACCGATCATTGGAGCTACCAAAACTGTGAGTATCCGATCTAAAAGTCACTTGACAATCCCCCACGTATGACCCTTCTGGCGAGCGCTGCATCATCAGGAATAACTTTCGCTTTCGTTGGTACGTGGCTACGACGCCAAGAAGATGAGTCAGCGTACACGTGACCATGCGACTCCTATGCCAAGCTGTGGGAGCGCTACTTTGCAAATTGATTCTCGATCTTGATAACCTGTGCGAATTTACAATCTCATGTTGACTGAGATCAACTTTGTCTTCCGTCATATTTTGACAATGATCAGAACTTTTAGATAATATCGTATCATTTTATTAGTATAGTAGGTGGTGAAAAAAGGACTTTTTTCACGCAAATTTATAAAAATGACACTTTGTACTTTACACTATACGTTATTCATACACCACCAAGATTTAATCAAGCTATCGCGTACAGAAATCTAAATATTTTTTTCGTAAAACTATTATACAATGGATGAAATTTATCGAAATTAATATGCACATTAGAAAAAAAGTTCATAGGTTTTTATAGGCCGTTTTTAATGTTCATTAGTTTTAAAATAAATTTCTATGCTAAACAGAGTTGTTGACAATTTTTTGTTTAAATTTAATAATGTTACTATTACTTGCTCTGAAAACACAAACGTTTTTTATAGTATTTCGTTAATAAATATCTTGCCTACGATACATCTTACACAACAAAAATAAATAAGCAACATCCTATATTTAGGTGATTTTTTTTATAATCACCCGTAACTATTGTTTGTTTCAGGAAACGACAGTACTATGTTTACATTATACATCTTGTTGTTTGTAAGTTTCATAATATTAGTCGTTTATGTGACTCGTAGAAAAAAACGGCTACCACCGGGGCCCATAGGATTACCTATAATTGGCAATCTATTATCTATTGATCCAAAAGCCCCACATGAAAGTATGGCCCAACTCGCATGGAAGTACGGGCATATTAGTAGCTTATGGATGGGCTCGATTTTCACTGTTATATTGTCTGATCCAAAGCTTGTCCGCCAGGCTTACGCCAAGGACACTTTTACCGACAGAGCACGATTATATCTTACGCATGGCATTATGAAGGGACAAGGTAAGTGGTAACCAATAATTTAATAATAATTTAACCAGTAACCAAAATAATAATAAGCCAAATAAAAATTTTTTTTTTTCTTTGGAATGTTCTACATTTTTGAGCATTTACTCACAATGATCAAGAAGTTAAAAATCACTCTATTTAAATTATTTCATACATTCCAGTTGATTGTGATGCAATTAATAATTTGTGAACTGAAAATAAAAGTAGAAAAATTTTCGATTTTTTTATAAGTCTATTATTATCACGAAGAAAATATTTGTAGGAAGCACAGTTTTTGAATTAGATCGGAATTAAAGATACATGGTTCCAAAAAATAAATAATTTTTCAATACGTGCCATTTATTATTTATACATATATAATGCCTTATTTTAGCAGTCAGTAGAGTTACGTGGAAGATGCTCCTCACACAAGTTGGTTACAACCGCACAGTTAAATTTGCATTTTTCATGAATTTGTAGAATACGAGTAAAATATTATCAGAATGTACTGTATAATTCAACTTGTATCATTCGGGATGAAAAATGAGCAAAAAGTAACGTCAGACTGATGTATTTTATTCATAAGAAAAGTCAATTATTTTCTGAAAAAAATTATACTAAATAATTTACTGTTCCAATTCCCCTTTAAATCTGGATTTTTGCGCTAAAACTTTCCTTGTTTCCAATATTTTTCAAACAATACATGAAAGTACATGTATACTATAAAAGACCAGTAAATAAGATTCTACCAGCTTTTATCAATGTTTCATCTCTCGTTTTATACACTTCGTATATGCTATCTGTCCGTTCTCATTCTACCTTTATCTTCTTCTTCTTCTCCTGTTGATTCACGAAACGGGCAATAATGGCATGGACATGCCGGCATCCAACAACAAAAGGGCGATTCATCTCCTTTTTTTCTTGTTCTTAGTGCTCGCGTGTACATAAAAGGATGTAACGGTTCCTCTAACGAAGTCTGCACCGGGTGAGCCGACTAACCTACTAAACGAAAAATACCAGCTGGATCGTATTAAAGCCTTGGTTACTGTTGATACGAAAAAAAAAAAAAAAAAAAAAAACAGGTTAGCATCGTAAACTGAGAATTTTGGAATGACCCGTTAGGTTCTTCACTGACGATATTTGTTCAGTTAGATTTTTCATTTGTGCTAATTCATGCACAAATAAGATGAGCTTCTCTGCTATCGCGATTCATTTTAGATGTACCAGAATATTCAAGTACCCAGATGAGATATTCATATGCCAACATTAGCATTAGTTAATTATTTAATTATCGTTCTTATCTATACTTAATTCAGCAATGGTATTATAAAATTAATAAGTATTTTATGTATACTTATAGATTTTTTTGACACTAGTAATTTTTGTGCAAAAATAAGTGATATCAGTTAAGATTATTATTTTTTTGGTAGTTGAATTAATGTTCGAAAAATTTTTAATTCACGATGCTGTCACTTTTTAGTATCTTGTGCAAATTTGTATTACTGTGTGAGGCAGTACATCGAATACTAAAACCAACCATCGGTTAATCAACAACAAGTATTTGATAAGAAATAAATCTATCAAACTACATTTGTTTTCATTATTCAATCACAAAATCATTGATTGAATTATATAAATTATGGGATGCACTTAATCCATTTACTGAAATTTTTATTGGAACTGACAAAAAAGAACTAATTTTATTAATTTACTAATTCTACGAATTGCAAAAATATCCCAAAATTTATATTTAACCCAGTTGAAGAGCGTAGAGGTAATCACATTGAAATTATTTATTAATTGCTTTTAATTAATTGTAAAACATAAATAACTTGAAGTATATTTATTAAAAGTAAAAAGTAAACATATATGGACGTTGAAGAATAAAACTTTCTTTGAATTTTGCTTAAACCACCTTCTTAAATTTAACCATCAAATAGTGATAATCAAACCCGTTTGCATAACCATCCAGTAAATTAGAGCTCAAAGTGGTAACTACGAGCACAGTGCTCCAGGGTGTATCTTCTTCTTTTTCTTCTCCTTACTTTTTCCTTCTTTCTATTTATACTCTGATATCCTTCCCCACAGCATCTGATGCTGCATATCCGTGTAAGTTTGTTAAGTACATTGTTTATTTTTTTGTTTTTCCACCACCATCTTATCATTTTATTTTAGCTTCTTTTAAATACCTACTTGTCGAGAGGTGCGGACATTGTTTTATTTTCTTGGTGAAATAAAAAAATTTCTATTCAAGTCGAGTCACTGAAGAAAAAAAATATTTGTCAACTAAGCATTTCAAGTGTTACTGAATAAAAATTTTTATAACTTTTGTCACAATAATACAAAATTCTTGTAAATGAATCAGATTTCATTTGTTGAAACTAATTTTTTGTAAAATTAACTTGAACATTATCTAAATTAAAATTACATTATGTTTCCCATTTGTGTTTTTTCATTTAATTCATTACGATGTTATGTATTATTACATAACTGCACACTTTGTTAAATTTACTACAATATCATAAATAAAAAGGACCGAAAGATTTTTTGGAAAAAAAAAAATTGTTTTGTAATTCTCACAACCGGCTCACCCGATTCGACCGACGACATAATTTTCACTTTGAGGAAACAAGCAGCGCAGAACTTTGATTCGAAGGAAAAAAATGATGGCTTGCATAATTACGTTAATGCGTGTGATTACGTGAATTTTGAAGCGCAGTAAAACCAAGTGGGGCATAAAATATTTATGCATACAGAAGACGGTAAAATCAAAATTAATGAGATGACTGCTTGGATTAGCTAACAAATGAGTTTGCTTAATTTGCAGATACAATCATCGAATTGTCGCACATTAAGTGCTCGATGGAACGAGCGCGGTTTGTCGTTTTTTCCATTCTAACCATGCATTCAAGCGTTAAAAATCGTGAGCGCTTTTATGCAATTTCTCGCGATCGCACATTATATCCTGTCATGCGGCGCAAAAAAACTGCGTTGTGTTTTCCCGGTTCACGGTCGTTCATCTAATACGGAGCGAGTGCATTACGAATTACGTATACTCTCGTCTACCTTTCCGTTCCAAGCGATTGAAGTGCTCTTTTTTTTTCAAATTTTTCCTGACGAATATTTTTTCCAATTCGTTTTGAGTGGAGATGGATTCAATAGGTTGAATAATAATGTTGAATAAATAATTGTTTCATACGTTTTTAAAGTAGCAGTGAATCTCTAGTCAAGATTTAGACAATATTTTACCAAAATCATTTTAAATATTTAAAAAAATTTTTGCATTGAAATTATAAAAACATAAAAAAAAAAAATGAAAGTATTGACCACTTTCTGTGACGTGAAATGATTAAAACTTATTTCTTTAATAAAAATAAACGCATTTTGATAAAAACTGATAGACATACTACATGCAAGCATATAAGATGATCTTCAGAGTTTCAAAGCTATTCAGACCCTATAAATTAAAATTTTATGAATGTCACTGAAATCTTTCTTCGGAATTTGGCTTTGTCATGACTTTGAAAATATTTTTTACCCACTTGGAGTATTCAGATTTTTAAAAAATTTTAGTTTTACAATTATTTAAGGAGGTATTTAAATTTTTGTAGAATAACTGAGAGCCTCATAAAAGAGTAACCGTAAAATTGTGTAAAATTCGTAATTGTAGTTATCATAATTAATGAGTTTAATTGTCGTTGCGGTGTAAAACAGTTAAGAGAATTAAAAAACTTTAGAAACAAATGTCACAATATAATTTTGAAACAAAGTTTTTGTTTCTGTTTTTGTTTTAAAACGTTGTGTATTATTAAAGATTTAAATCTTAAATGTTATCATCACAAAATGTCATTTGTATCCCTCCTTTTTTATTTAACTTTATTGAGGAGAGGAAAAAAACAATAAAAATTTTTTTATATAATTCCTCGAATCAATTTCAGTGTCGATGTACAGTGATTGATAAGGGTTGTTATACACACGAATAATGAAATACAAAAAATAACTGCTTTAAAATTGTAATCACTCTTGCATTTGTATTTTTAAATTTGTTCAATTATGTGCAAGTAATTAGCAAATAAAAAAAAATAATGGTAATGCGGGAAAAAGTTCGGATGCAAAATTTTAATTAATTATGCTGCAAGAGGTCGTTAGGGAATCAGCGAGTAATCAATTCTTACTTGTATTGGTACACATGTACTTATTAGAAGCCGGTAGACCGAAAGCGAAAGTAACATTGAACCTGAACTAAGTACGCTGCCTTCCCTCCATCCACGACCAACATTGATGTTTCCTTCACTTGGAAACCCACCCAACTGTTTTATTTTCAACTGTACTGTGTTAAACATGTTGTCATCGCATAATGTACCAACTGTTTGTCAAACGACCTTAAAATGTTTCCGTGGATTAGCTGGAAATTTTTTTCACATTCTTAAAGTTCAGCTTTAAGATCTGCAAAAGTTTTAAAATATGTGCGTTATAAAAGACATTTTCATTGTATCAACAGTGCACTCGTGAATCACAGCGCAATGCTTGTGACATAATAATGTTGTTGTCAGCATCAAATGATTAAAGTTTATGAAATAATACTCTTGGCGCTCTTATATCAACGAACAAAAAAAAATTTCCTCCCAAGTTTCTCCAGTTTCTCCACAGCTTTCCGCGCTTTTAAACATCGACCTAGTAAGTGGAGTTTGAACAAAAAAATTTCAATAAACCACATGATTGACGGTGTAGGAAAGAGAGCCGCAAAAAATGCCTGCCAAGAAAAATAAAAGCACTTTTCTCGTTCTGTCCCATGCATAATTACTCCTACAGTGATGCTAAAAAAGTAGATGATAGAAATTCGCGTAAAATACAAAGTACAGTTTTTCGATCGAAACGACGAGTGATGATAAAAATCGAGATTTCGTTTGTCAATGAGTAAGGGAACACATGCAAACAAATAAATAAATAAAAAAATAAACCAACGTCTGCGTTTTCCTTGCCAAGAATAAGATTAGTTGATGATAAAAAATAGT